GGTCTCCCAGGGCCGAAGCAACAAGCTTCAGGTTCAATAATATCGAAATGACTGGAGAGAGGCCGTTGCATTTGTTTAGTTCTTCTTGTTACACAAATTCTTCACAGACCTATATTTTCTGCTGCTTCGTTTTACTTCCAGAAACATAAAAACGCTCGCTCACTCTCGCACCATGCACATGCATGCACACACACACACACACACACACACACACACACACACACACACACACACACACACACACACACACACACACACACACACACACACACACACACACACACACACACACACACACACACACACACACACACACACACACACTTAACCAAGAGTCCTATTTTAAGTATTACAAGATCAATAAAATCTAATAAAATGAAATAATGCTCCCCTTCCTCCTTAGTTGGAGAATTTGGAGTATAGTTTATAGTGTGGTGACACGTTATTGGACATAATTCACCTCTCGTACTGCTGATACTGTAGCAAGTTAGATTAAAATGCAGTCAAAATGAAAACAGCAATTTTGATTTCAGAGGTTTATTGAAGTCTGCCAGCTGATTGGTTGGATTCAGATAAATGGAGCATGAATGAAAACAGCAATTTTGTATGCTATCTGTTTAAATAATTGAATAAATAATTATATTAATACATGTGTGTATTTTGCATTTGTATCCTGTTTTTACACATAGTCAATCTAAGGGCAACACATGACTTTGTTTGTGTGTACATACAAATATATGTACTGAGAATATTTGGTACATATTTGACGTGTCTCAAACAGCTACAATTATATTTTCATTCATCACAGGTTAAAGTATATCATAATTCTGATAATTGCAATCAGTATATATATTTCAATTTGTTCTGGAATGAAACAGGAAACAAATACACATTTCTGAAATATAAATTGTGACACTGCCCCAGGAAAGTTAATGATCCAGTTCATTGTTCATCAGTTGTCTGAGTGTGATATACAGGTTAACAGTTTCAAACACATCATTTGTTAATTTCAGATTATACTCTGACATTAGATCCACACAGATATGGAACACATCTTCATCACATGGGAAGTCCTTGAACACACACTCATCAAGACAGACTTGAACTTTCTCCAGGTCCACGTGGTGCAAACAATCTCTGCCTCCATACAGATGAGGGACTGCATGCAATATGGAGGGACGTCCATGGGGTGATCGTGAGTTATGGACTTGACGGACTCTGTGATTGTTCCAAGTCAATACAACCTCATTAAGTTCTTCCTCGGAGGCAAATAATATTCAGTCAAATAGAATGTATAAAAATACTGGGCAGTGGTGATTACTGCCTTAGTCAAGTATACTCCTGACCCATGGTTTGTTATATTTGTGAGATGTGTCTTCTAGTGTACTATGGTAGGTTGGCACAATCATATTAATAACTGTAAAATGTAAATTGCAGCAGTGCAACTAATGTTATATCTTAACAGCTATAAAAATGTGGTGGATAAACCCGAAAATAAACCCTACTTATTTGACACAGCTACTCTGAATACCCACATATTTTTGTTAGCCAGAAACAATAACTTATTATTCACTCTCTCCACGGAAAACAGGCAATTTCTATTTTACACATGGTCATTTGTGGCTCTTTAAAAATATTCACCACATTCAACATTTATTTATTTCATAATGTGACAAGTACCTGTATTATTTGTAGAAAGCAGAACTGGATCAAGGACTTGTCCAAGAAGTTGTCTGAGAAGTAGCCATCTACACTCAGTTTGTCAAAAAGGTCCATCCAAAACTGGACACACTCACTTCGCAAGGTCAGCCACCATTGTTCAATACGTTGGTTTCCAGTGCTTGGACCAAAGGTTACATTGTCTGTTTCAGCTTGGTTCTCAGAAAAATGCAAAAACTGCTGCATTTCAGCCATATGGCCATTTTCTGTTCCTAAATCAAGTCTGAGTCTGGCAGGGCACCCACCAGCATTGATAACAGCATCAATAAAGTAGCCAGCGATGATCTTCGGGTCTTTGTTTGTTTTGTAAGCTTCAAGCCATATCATCTTTCTGGAAAACCCGTCAATGCATCCACTGATTGCAATTCCAAATGGCTTAAGCTTGTCGTAACCATCAATGTGCCATACATAGTTTGGACCACAGCTGTGGTAGATGCGCCTTCGCAGTCTGTTTCTTGACCTCAGATCAACACCTTAACCATCCAATAACTGTAGCAGTATTCGCACTGTTTCTCTGTCAGTCACAATTCCATGTAACCAACATTTTTGGTGCATCCATCTGTAACCATGACACTGACCAGATGTTTCCAGTTGCTGTTCAATGAAGGTTGCCACCTCAGCCACATCGGTTTTATTCTTTCGACGCCAGAGCTGCTTCTTGCTTAAAATCCTTTCAAGGGTGCGTTTGCTTAGTACAACTCCATGTGAATCAGCAAGCAAATTAAGTATTTCATCTGTTGTAAATCCACGTTTAAAGTAGTCCTCAATGTACTCACAATCCATTTCCGTATCAAGATAAATAGGAGAATTCGAGCCAAAGAGCTGCTAGTTTGTCTGTTGTGACAAAGTGTCTCTTTTTATCTCATAATTATGACTTTTTATCTCATTATTTCGACTTTCTTATCTCATAATTAAGACTTTTTATCTCATTATTATGACTTTTTATCTCATAATTTCGACTTTTTTATCTCATAATTATGACTTTTTATCTCATTATTATGACTTTTTATCTCATAATTTCGACTTTTTTATCTCATTATTATGACTTTTTATCTCATAATTTCGACTTTTTTATCTCATAATTATGACTTTTCATGGGGATTTTATTTTTTTCAAGTGGCGGAAATGGGCTTCCATAACTATCAAATCCAGTTGATGAAAATATAATAAATATGACTGAACAACAGACCTCCTTTCATTTTTTGAAAAACATCAAACTAACAAAAACATTCACAAAAATAAAACATTCAATAAACAGTTGAATAAAAAACATGAATACATGTAAAATAGGGTTTCACATCTCTACACCACAATTGTATAGTGAGTTAGTTTTGCTGTGTGTTGATAGTAAAGAGAAGGGATCTTTGCATTAGTTCATGAACAAAATGTGGTTTTGAGCAGAAAAACAACTATTTGGCTAATTGTGTGATGTAGATGTATTGCTGTTTTTAGATGTTAATGAAAACCTAACTGTAAACACTTGTTGGCGTTTTGCTCCTGAGCCACACAGAGCCCATCTGTCTGTCTGTGAAGAGACTTAATAACTGCCCCCATGCAGGAAAACATTAGTCACCATCAATGCCAGTCTGGTAGAGGGAAAAACAAGCAGGCATGTTTCCAGAGCCTCCGCCTCACACACATCTCTGCTGCCGGCACCAGGGAGCTGTCACTGTGAGCCGGGATGCCACTCTGTGTTCAGCCACTGGAAACGTGCAGAGCGGAGTGAAAGGAAGAGAGTGTTTCACTTTGGAAACTGCCGTCCCAGTGTTCTCCCGATGCACACATTTGGGAATTTGAGGAATTTGCAAAGGGGTATGTTATTCCTACACTGTCAGGAAGAGGACAGGCCTGACATAACACAGGCAGCTGGGGCAGATAACCCTGCACTTGTAGATAGATGGGATTGGCAAGCAAATACTACATTATATTAAGAAATGTACACACAGGAATGTCCTTCAGCGGTTGGATCATTGTTTTAGCTGTGTCCCCTGTGTGTTTTTAGGGACATATTTTTCCCTGAATGCTTTAAGAACTGACATTGGGAGCATGTGAATGACAGCAGCCCACATAATGACTGCTTACTGCTCTGCTAAAAACACGACCGAGTGCCACATCAACACTCACTAAACTCAGAGTAGCACTTTACTGAGGCGCAACCGCACATACAATTCTTTAACAAGACGCAGCCGAGTGTCACTGACTGCAACGGTGGTCAAAGAAGTACTCAAGTAAAATGTCCAATACAGCAAGGAAAAAATACTCCGGGTTACTACGGGTTTTACATGTTACAGTATTTCTTCACTGCTACTTTTACTCAAGAAAAACGGGTATTTCTTCCACTACTTCAAGTTCTTTTTGTAACATTAGCATGAAATGGAAATGGTCCTTTCAAAATGGTGCCTTTGTTCAGTACAGGAGTAAATGTACTTAAAGGAAACATTCCCAACCTTTGATGTGGATGTCCAATCACTGTGGTAAATGATGTCAATTGAAGCAATACATTCCTCAATGGGTGCTATACTGACTGAGACAGTTGAGTCTCCTGCTGCAAAATCTGTTTTCATCTTGGATCCAGAGCTTTCATACAACATGACAGAGACATAGTTGGAAGAGGAAGAGCAAACTGCCTCCTGGATTTCTAGTCCCACACTTATTCTTCTTGCTTGTATTGCAAACTAGTCACATTTCTAAACGCAAAAATGGCATAACAAAATAGACATGGATACATTTGACCGTGTTTTGGCTGACTGATAATCAGCCGCAGTCATTCAAGCCAGAGTATACGGTCGAGGTGAGGCCTCTGGGTGTCAAAAGCTCATGCAATGCATCCTGGTTCATAGGCACTGCCGGTTTCTCAAGCATAAGTACTCAGCTTCAGTAAACCACGCACAAAGGAATGTGTTGCTTATATTGCCAAAATGAACCATTAACACTGACTGGACATCTACATAAGAAAGATCTAACTTTACCCTTGTATTACTTTCCAGCAGCTGCACCTGCTGGCTCCACTGTTTGCTTAGTAAACTCAGTTAAAGACACAAACTGCACTGCTGAGGTCTTTCTCCCCCCTCCCTTGACGCTTAGATTAAAATACAAAGAGCTCAATTAATCCACAAACCCCTGAAGGCACCGCGGCCCTGTGCCCATGTCAGCCGATTCCTGCAGCTATTTCCTGTCCCACCCTCCTGGTTTAACAGTGAACAGACCTCACTGTGGTGCGTTCGTGGCCAGCAGAGGAAAGATCACCTCCCTCTGGTCAGTAGTGTGGCTCAAATCTGCACAGAGGCAGAAGAACTCCAGTAAAAAGGTTTTTTTCTATAAAAGTGAGGACTCTATAGAGTGGTATATCTGCTTTTGGTGGATTTTATTTTACAGACAGATGCCATTGGCACATACTTGTGTTTCACTTATCTCTCAGAAAGAGGAAACACCTCCTTCTCAACACATGTGAGGAGTGTTTCTGGCTGGTCCTCCTCCAAAGGATGGCAGGGAGTGGATCATAGTGGAGGGCTGCTCCCTGTGAAGCAGTTTATGTCACTGAGTGACCAACAGCCTCTCACTGCTCCATCCAAATGATCTACGTGTTGGCTGACACACCAGGTCAACATTGGATCTAAGTTCTTTATTTTTCCATTGGAATCTTGTGTTCAAGTTGAGCAGACAGCTTCCATCCAGGACCAAGGTGAGTGATGACTTCAGATGTGTATCTTTTAATCTTAAAATACTTCAAATGTTGGCCTATATACAAATCCAATTATTATTGCTCATTCTGTCTCAGATTTTTCAAAAAGTTCCCAAATATACTGCAGTGACTTTGCTTTCAGGCAATAAACAAGGCAACACACTCGTTTATTATTAGGGCCTGCACCATGTTCTTTACAATACCACAAACCATAAAACATTTATAGGTCCAGTATCTACAAAGAAGAAAAAACCCATCTTTTGTATGCATTTAAATACTTTTTTAAAGACCCTTTCATTCACTTTCTACTGTGCTAATGAATGTATGCTTGACTGTCTGAGACAGTAGACTCTTTGTGGACTACTGTAAAACAATAATTCTCATATTCAATGGTTTCAGATTTCATCTTTTGACTTAAATAGGATTATCTAAGCAGGAAGTGTGGGAGGGTTGAATGGGAGTGCATTTTATAGGGTTACATAAACAGCTTCAGCTGCCGGGCTTTGCATGTGAAGTTATTGGACTTGTCTGGAAATCTTAGGTGTTAAATCTGTCTGCCCGAGACTGCGGCTGCTGTGTAAAATGGACATTTGTCTCCCTCTGGTATTTGTGCTTCAAGCTCGGGCAGACTACACCACAAACTGTCCTCTTCACGCAGTGAGGGAAGCTCTGTGGAGCTCCGTATAAAAACACATGTATTTTAGTGTACATTTGCCAACAGAGAAGAGTTTGACATACGAGGACATACTAATCTTTTTTTGAAATAATAATCTGTTTTCTTAAAACAAGAGGAACATAATCTACAGGTGCAGTCAGATTACATTACATTATTATGTTACTTTGTTCGACGCTTTTATCCAAAGCGTCTTACATACTCAATACAAAACCCCACAGGAGCAATTTGGGGTGAAGTGTCTTGCCCATAGAGGTCTTGCCCAGGGACACAACAACATGCTGACTGCAGTGGGGTTTGAACCTGTGCTCCCCTGATCCCAACACCAACGTACCAAACCACTGCGCCACAGCCTCCCAGACTCTTTCCAAAATAAATCAACTTGTTGTTTCCAGAAAAGAGAGTTGGCGCTTAAAATACATCCAAGTCTATGCACTAAAATCAAGAAAATCAAAACTTAATTTTAGAACCAGACCAGGTGATTCAGATTTAAATATGAATATTCCTTCGCCACTAGCAGACTGTTCCACTTTTCCTAGCGAGATTAAGATGGGAAATCAATACCATTTCGAGATCTAAGTCTACAGCCAGTAGCTAGTTAGCCTAGCTTAGCATAAAGAATCAAAAGAGGGGGGTAAAGCTAGCCTGGCTCCTTCCAAAGGCAACACAAACCTCCTAAAGATCACTGATTAACATCCCTTTATCTTGTTTGCTTAATCAGTACAAACCAAAGAGTAAAGACACCATTTTGCTGATTCACTTTTTGCTGATATGTTGGTCCATTGCCTGGCACGACATATTTGGGCACATCACTCCTTAACTGTCAAAATAAACAAACAAGATAGAAAGTTTAGTCGGTGAGCTCGCAGGTGGTTTAATTTATTTTGTAAAGATAGTTGTTTTCCCGAAGTTATGCTTAAACTAAGCGAGCTAAGCTAACAGTGTGCTAACTCCTGTAAAGACTCAAATTACAGAAAATCGGACTTGATGAGAAGATTATATCTGCAGTGTGACAAATGTTTGATCAACAGTCTGGTCGGTGGGCATGTAGAAGTGCTGGGTGTAAAGGCCAGAAAACAATGTTTGACTTTGCACAAGCGGAAACTGAATTGCCCACTTAAGTTGTTAAGGTCTGGGGGCCACAAATTGAGGGTGCAGATGGAGTCATGCTTCTTCTGTCTGGGAGTTAAATGGCAAACAGAGGGCAGCGCTGGTTGAGACCCACCGGTTCCCATGAGTTAGCGGCCAACATAGAGACCACGGATGTAATTGCACTCCTTAAAAAAATTCAAAAGAAAGCCTTTGAGAGTGCGCAGGGCCTGCCAAGAGTCACCGGGATAAAGATCAGGGCGGGAGAGCCCCCCGAGTGGCAGCGATTGCAGCAGGGCATGATTTTGTTTTCTCCCCAGAGAGAAAGCACCAGAAAGAAAAACATTCGGCTCCCACGCACATTGTTGTTTTAATGACAGGGAATGTGAGGGGGTGGGAATATCAGTCATCATGTTTACATCAATCTTTACGTTCTGTGGGACCATCTGTGACATTTAACCTCAAATAAATCTCAGTGTCTATCCCTCTCAAATGATTGAAAAGGAAAAGAAAGAAAAAACATTTGAGTATTTTTTTAACTGTTTTTACTATAATTTAAATTGCAGTTAATGCACTTTCTGTTAGATACATTATTTTTTTACAAGTAGGAGACTTTAGTATTAGGGCATTTAAAGTTAGGAAACTTGGAATCCTATTAACATTTTGGATTTTAACAACAATAAAATGCAACAGGTGTTAGCTATGGTCAATAGGGTTAGGGTTAGGTTAATGGAGACAACTACCCTACATTTCCTGTAGCCAAGGAGAGATTGGGCCTTCACTGACAAAATGTCACTCAAAAAGACACACAGAAACCAGGAAGAGACTCAACTGATAACAAAGAAACTCAAAGTTACTACGGAAAAACTCAAAATTCCAACAAAGACAATGAAAACAACCATAACAATAAAAACAACTGTACCACAAAGAGAAAAAAGTAAACTACAATGAGACAAAACATTCTTCCAAAGTCACTCAAAATTATTGCAAAGATATTTTTAAACAATTACAAAGCAACATAAGGAGACATTTCATTACTAAAAAGACAATGAAAATTACTACAATGCAACTCAACAACTAAAAATGAACAAAAAAAGACATAATAAAGACATAATAGCATGAAGCGCCTTACCAACTATACAGACTTTGTGTCTTGCTCTTTGGTAGGAGAGCTGGTGGAGCATTTTGCATGTCTGAAGGCACATTCTGTCATAACCTACACACCTGTGTGAAGACACCATACTTGCAATAGGTCCAGTAGGTATAGCTGCTAGTGTATAGCATGCTAACATGCTAACAAGTTTAACTCAGATGTTTGACCTAGTAAATATTACACCTCCATACAATCAACTGAAAGCATTGTCATCATGATGGTTCTTGCTGGTGGTGTAGGCATACAATACATCAACATACTTAGCCTTTAAATGCCAACAGGAAACAGACAATACGTATCTAACTGTGAGTTTAAAATGCCACTACTATTTAAATCTCACAAATAGACATTGAGATTTATTTTACATATTTTCTTTGTTTTCTTAGATGTCCTTTGGGCTGTTTCACCACCATCCACAATTCGTTTTAATTGTGTGCAGCTGTGGGCAGCCCCTCTGCTTCCTTTTTGCATTGCATTGTTGGAAAATAGTGGAACACAACAAAATAAGCATATTTGTATACAAGTTGATTTGTATGTACTCTCCAAAAGCCTTCTTGAAAGTATGAAACATTGAGTTTTGTACTACTTTTGGATACTGTATTTGATCATCCACTCCATAATTATAGATACTTTGGAGATAGAATTCATTAAAAGTGCCTCAGCATCATTAGAAAAAGAGACAAGACATATCAGAATAAATGCAAAATAAACCAGAACAATCACATGTTGTTTTTGTGATAACATATTGTTAATAGCTGGGAGTATCCAAGTCATGTGACTTGTTTTCTGTGGGAAAAAAAGGACAAAAAAAACATGTGCTCGACTCAGGAAAAGAGCCTCCTCAGGCACTGATGTCATAAATATAAACATCCCCATCAGACACAGAGGGCCTCATGTTTCTGTGCTCACCGCAGGCTGAGTGTAAAACACTTACGAGGAACACAATGTCCTCTCTGCTGACCTCTGACCTCTGCTGTAGATCACAGAGGTAATGAGAGGGGAAAGCCTTTAAATGAGCTCAGGCTTCCTTAATGGGTTTAAAAGCGACATCATTTTATAATGTGATAATACTCACTGTCTCCTTTTCCTGTGGTCTGTGGTAGGTGTTGGAGTTCAGTGTGTAACAGGAAGTCCTGATGAAGATTTGAAGCCTCTGTGAAGCAGGATGGAGCCCATTAAGAAAGACATGGAGCTGCTCAGCAACAGCATGGCCACCTACGCTCACATCAAAGGTAAAACATGTCCCTGTGGTTCTCAACCCAGGGTTCGAGGCTCAATCAATGTATCATAGCATGAATCTTTGGGGTCATTTGAAATATACAGGAAAAAATAACGTAATTGTGCCAGTATTTTTAGAATATAGTTTCCAATATTTCTATGACCTTTTTGATGCAGTTGGAAAACGGAAGTGGAAATGGCTGCTTGTAATCGGGAATATTTCTAGAATACACTGTTATTAACAATGTGAACAGCTTATATTTGTATTTTTGGAAAAAGGGCAAAAACATGATTTTGTGCATGTAAAAGTATTCAATTTGCATAACACCAAACACACCTACAGTATCACCAGGCGGCAAAGAGATCAAAATCGAGATCTTTGTGATTATAATGTTGGGGCTCACTACTTTAAAGGTCACCTATTGTGCAAAATCCACTTTTCATTTATTTTCTACATCAACACGTGTCCCCACTGTGTAAAGAGATTCTGAAAGTTTCAGGAACAAAGACCCCCTCTCTTTTTGTCCTGATCCATTTATATAAAAACCTCTCTGAAAATGAGCTGATTAGATTTTGGCCACTTTATGATGTCATAACGATTATCACCTGAATCTCCTCCTAGAGCACCTTTGTGTTCTTTTTAACCAAATATCTCTCAGAGGGGCGTGGGGAGGGGCTCCTTATTTTCATCTAAAGTAACGGACAGAGAATCAGCACTTTTGAAACAGGGCTGAAACAGAGGGGATTATGGGATACTGCAATGATCTGTTTGGTGTTTGGAGCCAAACACTTCAGAGGCATGTTTGTATATATCTGAGAGCTATAATATATTGATGAAAAACAGTATAATAGGGGACCTTTAATAAATGCTCTTGTGTTCCTCTCTTCTCTCACAGCCAATCCGGAGAGCTTCGCCCTGTACTTCATGATGGGCGTGTGTCTGGGCCTCCTCATGGCGCTGTGCCTCCTGGTGTCCGCCATCGCCTGCAGGACCCGTCGCCACCGCAGGGCTCCCCCCTCCCCAGAGAGGAGGATGCTGAAGGACTCCAGCGCGGAGGAAGATGAGGACGAGGAGGATGAGGAGGGGGGCCTTGATGAGGAAGATGAGGAGGCGACGCAGATCCCTAAAGTGACCCTGGGTGACGGCAGCTCTAACGGGACTCTGAGGAGCGTCAACGTGTTTGCGTCCGCCGAGGAGCTGGAGAAGGCGCGCCGTCTGGAGGAGAGGGAGCGAATCGTCAGGGAGATCTGGAGGAACGGACAGCCGGACATCCTGGTCACGGGGACGGGGACCATCGGACGGGTGCACTACCACTAACACACACTTTGACTGTGATATGCTCCCTGACTGCAGAAGGCAGAAGAGACTTTTGGATCTGTGTGGTGGGCCATGTTCAAAATGAAAATAAGAGACTGTGTAAAATGGTAGGGGTGGTGAACCTTATATTTTCCCTCCGCAGGGTCATTATTGGTGGAACACTCCTATTCATTGACAACAAATTGATATCTTGTCGCAAGAGTCAATATTTTGAACTGAACTTCTAATGTGAACCACAAATGTAAATATTGATAAAACGTACTAAGATACAGAGACAGGACTATTGTATTCTGCTTAAGTGAAACAATTTCAAGTTACATTACAACTACAAGTTAAAAAATAAAAAAGGACAACAACAATAAAAGAAAAAATGAAATAATCATATGAATAAATAAAGTAAATAAATGCACTAAAGTCATGATGTCATTCAAAATACAATACTTTATTTAAATGTAATTTCATCTATGGCCTTTTTGAAAAAATAAGGACTTTTCTTTAATTAAAAAACTGCTGGAATAAAATAACAATTCCAATCAATTGATTTATCAAATAAGGTGATATAATGTTGAGCTGAGTTTCATCGCAAAAGCTGAATTACTTCACTATTTTAAAAAGGGTTATATATTGTCTCTTTTTATTCACGTGATTATTATAAGTCTCATTCTGTAATTTAATATTGAAAACATATTTTCTCAATATATTTTGTATTATATCGCCTGTGACAACAGATTTAGTTTGCAGCATATTTGGCTTCATCTGTATTCTACCATGTCTTTGCAATGTGAATAATTAAAAGTTGAACCACTTTTACAATCAACAAAAGCACATATATGTATCAATAGATGTAGCAATGTCCATCTGTGATTATTTGAAAGTCAATCATACATTCAATTTCTTTCTGGCAATTGTAAGAAAAAGTAAACACTCAAGATTATTGGTTTTGTCTCCTAGTAAATTGAATATGTTTTTTTGTCTGTACTAATTGATGTGCCAATTGTTTTTGATAAATCCAAAATACATTTTTAATTCTTAAATAGTTTGATTAGCCTGACTTACAATCCAAAAACCTACAAAGATTGACTTAAATCAAAGATAATAACTTAAATAATGAATCACTTAAGACTATTTTTCAATAATAAACATTTTAGCAATTTGAACACATTAAGTGATATGGTAGCTACATTTTAAAGACCACAATTGCTTATTCTTATGAGACATTTTCAATCTAGAAGACAGTAATTGCAGCCCTGGTGTAAAGTGCTTCATAGTGGGCACATGTTAGCAGAGGATCTTCCCACAGGAAGAGACCTTGCAGTTTTTTTTTCCCAGCCTTTAATTTGACTTGTGTCTCTGACCCCATCACTTCCTGTGTTCCCCTTTTCCACCACCCTTCCCCCCCCCCTCCCAGCGTCAGCTACAACACTGCAGCTCTCTCTGTGAACACGACTATGAAAGAGCCATTCACCTCAGCCGTACTGTAGATATTACCAATGCACAGCGATGTGCCCCCCCCCCCCTCAGAAGAAGAGTCTATTTCCTGTTGGCTGAAATGTTCCTCCGGCCTCTGAAAAGGCTCAGTACTGCAGCAGCGTGTGTCACGTGTCGGTAAGTAGCACTGAATGAAATTGTTTTAGGATTTCCAGAGGGACATTTTTTTCAATACTGACTAAAGGAGACAACTGATGGTGCCTGATGGTGTGATCAACCTGGGACACATGGCTTATTCACACTTGTTTAGGCCCCTCCTACTTGTTTGTTGTTCCACTTTGAAGAGATTTGCTCATTAGCTGATGACATGTTTCAAACACCACTGCATTAAACAAGACCATGTCACAGGCTGAAAGCAGAGGACAGTGGTATCAAGATATTTAACTGCAAGTAATAGTCTTGAAGACTTATATTTAAATAAATGCCTGTGATGTCCCTATAGGGGAGTAACACAATGGTGATTGAGCTAATGGTCCACTGATAACAGCCTTTGCTTTTGCAGTAGGACTGTGTCTGTGGTGGCATTCCTGGAAACAATCACAATGAAGACATTGGATTTTTAGAATATGAGTTGGTGCCTAAAGCAATGAGTGGATAGTACATTTTACATCACGCGTACTGCTAAAGAGATTATGGTACCCCAAACCAACACCAGAGAGGGCTGTCACACTCATTTCTCTCTCCATTGGTAGATTTCAACAAGTATCACACTCACAGCATTGCCCTGAATCAAAGAAAGATTTATTGAAAATTAAAAGACAAAGTACTCCAAAGCTCTTGAGAACAGTACAAAAGTTATTGGCTTCAGATTGAACAAAAACAAAGTCCTACAGTTGTGTTTGGTACATGCAGCATGTACAGTGAGAAGCAGCACAGTGAGATTCACAGGACGACTTCTGCTAGTTCGCGGCAACTCTTCTTAAAAATAAACACTTCCATCAACACCTTCGACACAATCCTTTTAGGGTTTCTCTTTCCCTTATCAGCTCAAACTGCTCTTTTTCGTTTTGTGGGAGGATTTAAGGTTGTGTTTGTTTCGTTTTTTTAAAAGAACCATTTCCTGTTTATATTTTACCTCCATTAGATGTTGGGGTTACAATAATGTAGGTCTAATAATAGAATAGAATCATTCTATACAGCATTTTGTAAAGCTATGACATTTTAAATTATTCATCTAAACAAAAAGGTAGCCACTTACTAAATTAATTTGACAGTCTGAAACCTTTATATTTATCTGTCTAAAGCAAAATCAGAAGATGTTGTTGCCAAATTCTTTAGAATTTGTTGTTTTTTTAAACTGAAAACACTCAGAATGAATGAGAATATACTGAACCACACACACATACAAATGTCTTCACTTCCTAATGAGAAATACAGCTAAAGTGGCACTATATGAAAACGCTTGGAGAGTATAAGTGACAAACATCAACCGTTCATTAAAGATATTTGACCTCTCCTGTCTGAAACGTGACGGCGGTGAGCCCTGAGCCCACTTCTGATTGGTCCCGAGGAGCGCGGTATGAATCATGCAGTAACATCGAAAATGTATCACAGCCCCAACAACATAAACATGGAAATCATCTATAACCTGCCTACACTGATGGGCAGCTACCTCTTATAGCTGGATTACACAAGTAATAATATTTATTTTCTAAGGCACACATTTTTTACTTTGTCATGTCTTCAGAGAATATTTTTTTAAAAAGATACAATGAAACCAGCTGCAGAACAAAAACTTACTTGACATTTAAAAAACAAAACGCTCTGAAATGAAGGTGCTCTTCATTCCAAAGATTCTTCACTTTAACTGTGAGAAGGCTCAACTTACTGAACACATTTATAACCATTAAATGTGATGATGGGGGGGGGGGGGGGGGGGGATATCCCCTTCACCGTCACTGTAACCGTCCTCACACCTATATGTAGCCGGTGATGGGTCGAGTGGTTCTACTGCTTCGGGGCGGGGGCTTCTCCGGCGTTCTTGGTTTCTTTACGGATGACCGGCTGGCTTTCCATGCCGTCGTCGGCTAGCTCCGCCCCCTCCCCCCCGCCCTGGAACATGTCGTGTGTCCACTTCGGGCTGCTGCCCCCCTTACGGTAGACGAAGCGACCCCGGCGTGTGGGGAAGGCCCCCCTGCCCCTCCCACGAGAGTCCACCCAGGTCTTCTCGCCATCACGGTCGTCGTGCTGGAAGGAGAAACAGGTGGGGTTAAAGGTCAACCAGAAGTCCTTCACACAGCAGGGTTACTAAAGAGCAACTGTTCCTCCATGTTTTACAGTTAGGCTCAGACTGTTTTGAAAGTATCTGATCATTATAGAAATGACCCTTCAGTGATTTCAACTGTTTTTCCTTTCTCTTTGTTAATGTCTCTCAAAGTCTCGCTCAGGGTTCTGAAATCTCGCGAGAGGTGACTTGTGGCCAGAAGGCAAGGCTGTAAACGTGATTGAGAGCTAGAGAGAATAGTGTTAGTATCACAAATATTTGTATTAGCATGGCTGAATATTTAGCCAGCTGCATGAATGTAAATCTCCCCCTGTCTATACATCTCTAAATAGAAGGATTGCTTGCAGTGCTTTCCTTCAATACTGTACAATTGTTGCCCACATTTGTCACTTAGAGGGTAGCAGGTTTGTTCTGCTGTGAAGCAAACCATTCTTCTTCAAGGTTTTCTTTATCACCGTTTCATCAGATACTTTCCAATAAAATGTTGTTCAAATAATCCATATTTTGTCAGACAGCGTCTAATCAATCATGGTTAGATGATTACAATGACAACAAATCAAAGTCAAATGTAAATATGTCCTGAATTTTTAAGTATGCCATTATACATAAAAACAAAACATTCCATCCTTTTGTAAAAATAAAGTGTTCTACCACGAGTATGAAAGCATCTGCATGATGTAAACCTCACCACCTGTACGCCTGGGCTGTGACTTTTTCCTACTAGTCTGCTTAGTTAGAATAAACCGTGGGCCGAGTCAAATCAAAACGTAATTATTTGTGGGAAAGAAAAAAAAAATCCTTGGTTTTTATGTGTCATAATAAAGCCCTCCAAAATGAGGATGATGGGCTTGTTTCACAGGAACATGTTGACTTTGATGTTAGTAGTTACTAACAACACTAAAAAGGGCTCTGTGCCGGCATGCACACACAACAGAGGGTAAACATGCAGCAGGTACATGTCTTAAGTCAAGGTATTATTTAATTGTATCATAATTAAATTATACTCTGATGCCTTCAGTGTTAAAAGCCCTATGTTTTTAGGTGCATCACTAAATCATCAGCACAAGAGGCTCACCAGGTAATACTTCCTGCTCTTGGGAGTGTATTCAGGGTCCCACTCCTCCTCTGGAGGGCGCACTGCAGGGTTCAGAGGGGCGGGGTTTCCATTGCTGTTGTTGCCTGGATAATTTCCCCTGTTCCACCCTCTCCCTCTCACTCTGGGGAACTGAAATCAAAACAACGAGTTGGATTTAACTCGCAGTCAAGGGACAAAGACATGTTCTACAACAAGATGGAAGAATATTTATTGTTATGTTTAATATTAGTCAAATAATGGACCCAGGCGTGATGAGATATTAATGGGTATCAGGCATTTGTTTAGTGATGGGGTGAGGTTCCACATACAGTGGGGCAAAAAAGTATTTAGTCAGCCACCAATTGTGCAAGTTCTCCCACTTAAAAGATGAGGCCTGTAATTTTCATCCTAGGTATACCTCAACTATGAGAGACAAAATGAGAAGAAAAAAAAAAATCCAGAAAATCACATTGTCTGATTTTTAAAGAATTTATTTGCAAATGATGGTGGAAAATAAGTATTTGGTCAATAACAAAAGTTCATCTCAATACTTTGTTATATACCCTCTGTTGGCAATGACAGAGGTCAAACGTTTTCTGTAAGTCTTCACAAGGTTTTCACACACTGTTGCTGGTATTTTGGCCCATTCCTCCATGCAGATCTCCTCTAGAGCAGTGATGTTTTGGGGCTGTCGCTGGGCAACACGGACTTTCAACTCCCTCCAAAGATTTTCTATGGGGTTGAGATCTGGAGACTGGCTAGGCCACTCCAGGACCTTGAAATGCTTCTTACGAAGCCACTCCTTTGTTGCCCGGGCGGTGTGTTTGGGATCATTGTCATGCTGAAAGACCCAGCCACGTTTCATCTTCAATGCCCTTGCCGATGGAAGGAGGTTGTCACACAAAATCTCACGATACATGGCCCCATTCATTCTTTCCTTTACACGGATCAGTGGTCCTGGTCCCTTTGCAGAAAAACAGCCCCAAAGCATGATGTTTCCACCCCCATGTTTCACAGTAGGTATGGTGTTCTTTGGATGCAACTCAGCATTCTTTCTCCTCCAAACACGTCTAGTTGAGTTTTTACCAAAAAGTTCTATTTTGGTTTCATCTGACCATATGACATTCTCCCAATCCTCTTCTGGATCATCTAAATGCTCTCTAGCAAACTTCAGACGGGCCTGGACATATACTGGCTTAAGCAGGGGGACACGTCTGGCACTGCAGGATTTGAGTCCCTGGCGGCGTAGTGCGTTACTGATGGTAGCCTTTGTTACTTTGGTCCCAGCTCTCTGCAGGTCATTGACTCGGTCCCCCCGTGTGGTTCTGGGAATTTTGCTCACCGTTCTTGTGATCATTTTGACCCCACGGGGTGAGATCTCGCGTGGAGCCCCAGATCGAGGGAGATTATCAGTGGTCTTGTATGTCTTCCATTTTCTAATAATTGCTCCCACAGTTGATTTCTTCACGCCAAGCTGCTTACCTATTGCAGACTCAGTCTTCCCAGCCTGGTGCAGGTCTACAATTTTGTTTCTGGTGTCCTTTGACAGCTCTTTGGTCTTGGCCATAGTTGAGTTTGGAGTGTGACTGTTTGAGGTTGTGGACAGGTGTCTTTTATACTGATAATGAGTTCAAACAGGTGCCATTAATACTAGGGATGCACCGAATATTCGGCCACCGAAAATGATCGGCCGAAAATGGTTAAAAAGGCCCTTTCGGCTTTCGGCCGAAAGGGTTTTAGCACCGAAAAAATATCACCGAATGTCAGAACAGGCTTACGTTGGTAACCTAACGTGTTGTTGTGATGACGTAATAAAGACGCGGCGACCATGCTCGCGGCTGGCTCAGAGGGGGGGGAACATTGACCTTTGTCATCGAGATTGCCCTGAGCCTTTAACAAATCGTATTAAATAATCTGATGACAGACTGTAAACAGAATAGCTGACATTTTAACAAACTAAATAACTCAGTTACCTCTAATCATTAACCCATGTTTGTATAATGTAGTTAACTCCGTGTGTTGCTGCTAGCATACATAACACCTGACGTGGAAACGTTACTCGTGATGGAGCTACAGAGCTGCTAGAAAGACGGTCGAACCCGGTACATTCCTCCGTCTGCATGCGGTGCACTTTTGCTAAATGTTTAGACAAATTGCTCGTGCGCCCTTACATGCTAAACTCTTATTGCACTTATGGTAACAAGTATTCTCCACATCGAGACGGGTAAAGTTTAACCACACCTCGGAGCGCGTTCTCTCCGCCATCTCCGCAGTGTGCTCCGCTGCATGTAGCAGCTGCGTGTGTGTAAACTGCCCCGCCCCCTCGCACACAGACGGGGGAGAGATCTCGTCTGATCGAAAATACATCATAGACGCATTTGTTGTCTTTGCATATTATAAACGAGTTGGCGACACTAAGACTGCGATATAATGTTTTTTAGCAATAATACATGACATATATAAATGTACTGTATGCATTCAAAAGTGCTGAATAAATGTTTTATGGACCCATAATAGTGATTATTATTTAAGTTAAGTTTTGCCATAATCATGTCTATTTCCATAATCAGGTAGCTGAACAACATTGGTAAAAAATGTATACATTATATATATATATTTCTATTAATCATTTTCGGCCTTTCGGCATTCGGTTTTCGGCCAACTGTTTCCTATTTTCGGTATCGGTTTCGGCCAAGAATTTCCCATTCGGTGCACCCCTAATTAATACAGTTAACAAGTGGAGGACAGAGGAGGCTCTTAAAGAAGAAGTTACAGGTCTGTGAGAGCCAGAAATCTTGTTTGTTTGTAGGTGACCAAATACTTATTTTACAGAGGAATTTACCAATTCATTCATTAAAAATCCTACAATGTGATTTCCTGGATTCTTTCCCCCCATTCTGTCTCTCATAGTTGAAGTGTACCTAGGATGAAAATTACAGGCCTCTCTCATCTTTTTAAGTGGGAGAACTTGCACAATTGGTGGCTGACTAAATACTTGTTTCCCCACTGTATTTACGCTACATTACCTTAATAAAAACCAGGCAGTGCATGGAATATGTATGATAGTGACATCATTATCCACATTATGTTCCTTAGCATTAGGAGGAAGGAGCAGAGCAGAGAAGTGAACGTCTACTGTGATGCCGTTAGGATAAACAATTGCAAGAAGATGAGATGTCAGTTTCCCTCAGTGGAAAAGACTCAACAGCAGAAGAGAGAAACAAAGCTCAGAAAGCAACTTACGAATCCTCGGCCTCTGCCCCGCTCTGCGTTGTGGCCCTCAAAGTGGCCCCCCCGATCTCCGCCCCCCCGGTCGTGGCCCCCCCGGTCGTGGCCCCCCCGGTCTCCGCCCCCGCCGTAGTCCCGTGGAGGATACCGGTTGTGAGCGTAGCCCTCCTCTGAGTGCTCCATCCCGTCCCCTCCCATGAACTCTTTCCCCCTGAAAGCTGGAGGATACGGAGAGGCAGAGGAGGAGGAGGAAGAGGAGGATGGAGAGCGGTCCCGCTTCTTCTTACCCTTCCTGTCAAGAAAAAATGGATGTGAGTGTCAGAGAGTTTACAGACATAAAATGTATCAAAATGGTTTGAAAGTTTAAAAAGCAGATTGGTTTGCAGAGTGGTTACTAAGGTTACAGTTAGAGATGACTAGCCAATCAGTCTCAGATTTAGCATTTTCTGAAAAGTAACAAGTGACACATCTTAAATTATAACTTTATAACAAAGTTCACACAGGCAGATCATGTCATGTTTTCTTCATGTCATGGTGTCGTTAATCTGTGTGCTTGAACAGATTAGTTCCAGCACTTTAATGGTACAGAAAGAAACCCGCTTGTTGTAGCTTTATTCTCTATCCGGGTGACAGCTAATGCTAATTCAACATTTCCTTCTGCTACTTCACATTAAGCGTCTTTGGGTTCGAGAAAAGCGCTATAAAAATACAATTTATTATTATTATTATTATTAAGCTTTTACATTCTTCATACTGGAAAACTTCGACAACCTTTAATCAATACTTTTCACCTACAATTCTGTAATCACTGCACAGCTCTGTTTTTAAATTGCTATATTTTTTTTGTTCAATTTTTGTATTAATGATTAATAACTTCATTTTTAAAGTGTTTATTTTTTAACTTTCTCGCAATTTGTTTGTTCAGCCTTTCTTGCCTTTTTGGCAACAAACCAATCTGGTATCATGAATGTGTAGGAAAACATAGAAAGTGGTAATTGTTAACTTGACTCTGCTATACACTGTACATCTTTCAACATGGCAACATATTATTAGTAACAATGGTAACTACTCCTCCAAACGTTGTGTTCCCTGTGTGTTGGAACACTTGAGAGCACAGAGTGCACGTACTTGGATTTCTTGTGGTGTTTCCCAGATTTCTCAGAGGACCTCTCTCTGCTCGGCCCCCGGGAGCCTCCTGAGCTCCGGCCTCCTTCACGCTTGTAATCCTTTCCCGCAGACCTCTTACGTCTTTCAATATCCAGACGGAGGTCCATCACGTCGCCTTTGAACTTTTTACTTGGATCCTGCAGAAAGGTGGGTTTATTAGCCACTGAACCAGCTGTTTGCATAACTAATGGACATATTCAAAATGCTTTAAAATGATTTGGTAAAGGAAACATACAAATAAACAGCTTGAAATCAAACACCAGTGCATTACAAATAAAGATGCTACACATATATTAATGTGTTCGCTCAAGTGGTTAAGACAAAATACTGACAATACAAAAAATATGTTCAAAGAATGTCTTTTCACAACGGAATACAACATATTTGTGGAAACCAGCAACATGCATGTAGCATATCAAAATAAATTAACAGATTTTTCGTAGCTTGATTTTTTTCTTTTCAAGAAAAATACTTACAAGGTAAAGGCACTGATAAGCGTCCCTTGAGAGGCTTGGACTCAGGATCTTAATTCACTTCCTTTTAGCCTTTGCTTGGGTTCGTACATACCCAATCAATAACCATATCTCATAGGCTGGGGGGCTTGCTTGGCACTTACAAAACACAATTGGGCTCTTTTGATTTAGATATATGCATCCTTTGAAAGAAAAGCACAAAGCTGAACACTGCTGCTTAGGATCGTCTCAAATTTGCTTGTTCCAAATACTTCAAATTTCAAAATGGCGGGTCACCTTGTAGCTCGTCTCCTCCATCTCCTCAAACAGGTGAGAGTGCCTCTTAAAGGCACTGGGGGAAACATCGATTCTCCTGAGAGAGGAGGAAAGAGCCCGAAGGTGAATATATAAAACACAACAGGTGTACAGTTCATGTTCAGTCTGTAAACTCAAAAACACACAACTTGTTATTACTTTTGAATTAGGGACCAAAAGAAAAATGTATACTGACCGAAAAAGGCTGAATTAATTCACTTACCCATTTTATATTAATTATTTTTGTACAATTCTCATTTAATGTATACACTGAAAATGAGAGAAACAAATAAATATTTATATTGAATATACCAAAAATATCAAATTTTAAAACATTTTTTCATTTAACTTCTTGAAATTCTATACATATATATGTAAATATTTTCATCTGTTCCAAATGTATTGTTTTTTAGAAGTAAAAAAAACGTTTACATTAAATGTCCATCGGATCCATACAACTTAGAGTTAATAGTTTCTAAATAATATGTTGGCTGATTTAAGATGATCAGCTCTCATAACAAATAATATAGCTCTCTAGTGGCAAACAATTGGATTTGTGATTGTTATGTATGCTTCCCTGAAAACACTGTAGGTCATTGATGGAGCTAAAAGAAGGGTACATTACTTCAGGTCAGATTGTGAGACGTTGTGTATACCTGTGGATTTCTGGGCTCTTCCTTGGCTTCATCATTTCTACCTCTGCAGCTTTTCTTTGGTACATGGCAAAGCGCTCACTTAGAGACATGTCTGAGGATTGGAAGTGTTGAGCTGCAAATAAAGAACAACAAACTATTATTCCAGATACAGTAGTATAGTATGGTAACTGACATATAATGAAATGTACCCTGGATCCTGTCGTCCTGAGTCTGTGGAGGCGGGACAAAGCCAGCACAGGTCATACTTTACCTTTGATGTAATGCACGATTGAGACTATGTGCTGAGCGAACAGCTCAGAGGGGCTCCGGCGGAGCTGCGCTGACTGAACGTGCTGGAAAATGGAACGAAACTCTGCGTCTTTTTTAGTGGGGTTCGGCTCTCTGGGCATGACACGATCTTTAGACATGGAAGAGCTGAGAGAAGAGAAGCAGTGAGCCACATTGTACATTGACAAAGAACAAATAGCTACCATATGGCTCAAATAAAGGTGGGGAACGTTTTTACACTTCTCAATGTGCTAAAGTTGATGTTTGGATTTGTTTTATAGGATCATAGCACAAACATCATGATTGGGAAATGGGATTTAAGCCAGAGAGCATGTGACTGTTAGAGAAGCACCACACATGTTGGATTTACATTCTGTTTTAATGGAAGTGTCTCGTGTTACATTAAGAGAGAAAACAATGATCTTTTGTTAGGTCTTAACAAGTCCATGTTGGACATTCGGACATACCTGGGCATTTCATCAATGGAACCAATTTTGTGTTCAAAGTCGTCCCTTGACGCAGACATGCGACGCACAGGCGAGTCCTCGCGAAGAGGGAAAGCTCCGGGGAACAGCGGGCGCTCCTTCTCTCTGGACGCTGCAGGAGGGGACGGACTCCTCCTGGACTTCTCCTTCTCTTTCTTCTCCTTCTTCTTGGCCTTCTCCTCTTTCTTGGAGCTGTGTTTGCGGCTCCTGTACATCTCCTCCTCCATGTGATCCGCGGGCTCTGCCTCTTCAGCATCTCTGCGGCTCTTCTCTTTAGCTGACGGGTAGGACGTTGAGTAGCTTGGCTCGTCCCCCCATTTGCCGAAAATGTCCCGAGCTGTGAGGGTGGGTTTGACGTCCCCGTCATCCTCAATGTCCCTCTCTTTCAAGCCGTGGGACTTGAGGAACTCCTCTTCTCCGGCGTCAAAGAAGGGCAGGGTCTTGTCTTCCTTTGAGTCGCTGAAAGAACCGGACGAGATGTTGAAGAGATCTCCGGACTTGCTTCCTTTCTCTAGTTCTCTGTCTGTGTTGCTCTGCTCTTTATCACGACCGTTCTCCTTCTCTGCAGCCTGCTTTTTGTTTTTATTCTCAGCCAAGAACCTGAAACAGAGAACCAATCTCGCTTTAGTACGGTCACCCCCAGGTACATGACTAAAATGCATTGCACAATTTAAAAAGGGAAATACACATTGCACATAAACTGTAATATTGTTTATTATGTTATTTATTGGATTGTTAACTCCTCGTTGGGAAACATTTGGGACATACATACAGTATTAAAGTACCGTCTCATCCGTTTACTTCCCAGGGCTGTAGCGAAGATTCTTTTTTCAATCTACTAGTTGCTTGTCTAATGTTCTGCCTTGATCAATATGACATTTAAAAAAGCCCGTCCCTTAAGGAAACAGTAAAAGACCAGGACTCATATTGGAATAATCAAACTCACGTCACCACCGCCGCCCTAAGTAAGTGGGATTTCATACAACGCACAGAAAAGTAAATATCTTGAGTCTTATGTTTTTCTTATGTATTCCTCCAGGGCTCTTTGATAAAAGCTACACATGTTTGAAAGAAACATAACGTTCATCATTTGTTAGAATAATGAAAAAAAGGACATTTTATTACATTCAAAGGAGGAAAGTAGTAACAGACGTACTTTTTGAAGGCAGCAGAGATCACCGTCTTATCTTCAGATTTGGTTTCTTCCTTTGAGAAGAACCCAAAGCCGCTGAAGGAGGCCGTTTGTCCGGACTTTGTGGGGCTCTTTGCTGGAGGGGTCACGCTACCAACGGTTTTCCACATAGGCCCTTTTCCCTCGGAGCTGCTGGGGGCGTCTTCATTTTTAGTCTCTGGGCTCCTTCGTTTAGGGCTGGTGTCGTCGTCGATCCATTTCCCTCCGGACACCTTCTCGATGGCGCTGCCGTCTGCTGCCTGGCCGGATTTCTCTGGGTGACTTTCTGACTTGTCCTTGGTTTCCTTGGAGCCGTGCTTGCTCTTGCTGCTGCGATGATGTAGCGACGAGGACCGTGAGTGCGAGGAGTAGCTGGAGTGCCTGGAGCGCCGGGATCCCTTGGAAGACGAGCGGTCAGAGTAGTGGGAGCGGCTCCGGCTACCCGAGCGCTTTTTGGGTGTGCGGGAGCGTGAGCGCCCCCTCCTCGGACTGTGGGAGTGGTGGTCCTGGTCATGGTGGCGATCATGCCAGCCTCCGCCTCCTCCGCCTCCACCGCCACGCCCACCATCACCGCCTCCACCACCCTGCCAGTTGGCCTTGTATCCGTAGCCGCCGCCGCCTCCTCCTCCTCCGCCTCCTCCTCCTCCTCCTCTGTTCTGGTAATGGCCGCGCTGGTAATACCCTCGGTTTCTGCCGCGGTAGTGGAAGGGCCTCCGGTAGCCTCGGTTGTAGCCTCTGAAGCCCCCTCTGTTGTTCTGATAGTCCCTGCTGGGATAGTTTCTGGACGGAGAGTGAGAGCGAGAGCGGGACCGAGACCTGGAACTGGAAGATAGAAGGGGGAGAAGAAGAACAAATATATGTAATTGAGGGTAAAGTGTGTGTCCTACAAGTAAAGAAAATTATCATCAACATGACAATTGTTTTAAAAGATCATATTTTTGAAGCATGGCTGTCCTGTGTCTTAATATGTCCTGCAATTGTGAGTCACATAGTATTAGAGTTCAGAACTTGATTTGATGTACGTTATGTGTAAATATGGAGTTATATTCCATCCCTGTCTTTCCTGTAATGAACATCAGTGACATCAGTCATCTGTAATCAAATAATGAATAACTCCTTAATTTGTAGAAAATAATGGTTAGTTGCAGCCTTATTATATTTGATCACTAACAAGAGAATGGCTGAAACATAAGACTGATAATTCAGTTACCAAGCCGATATGACCAGAGTTACGACAATTTCCCAAAATCTATCTTATTGTAGGAAGCTTTGAAATTGAACAAATATCAGACAAACTTTTCCTAACTGTCCTTTTATGGTGAGCCTTGAGAAGAGACTGAGATCTACTGCTGCCCAGATGTCAACAGGGGGCGATGTATTCTCACGGATAACCGAGTCATAACTCCACTAGGCACAGCGATGTCTCACTCAGAGGCATAGATCAACAAGACTTCAATTATATTTATAGAAGCCACGCAAAGGTCTACATTTTTCACCATGAACAATTCCTAAAAACCGCAGTGCAACACTATGGACAAAAAACTCGACTGTGATAGCAAACTTAACACCAGGAAATTGAAAATGAAGTTAAAAATGAATACATTCAAAACATTGAATCTTAGCTTCATTTATGAAAGACTACAAATAAAAGCCACACAAACAAAAATGTATTTTAGTCACCAGACAAATGCATAAAAAAATAGGTCCACTTAAAATCGAAAATTGTTTCACAACAGTCAAACAATTCCAAAAACAATAGAGGGGGCAGTCGACCTGCAACTAGCGTGTTCTGTAAAGTACAAATTACCAATGGGGTAGCTTCAAAAAGGTCTGCAGTAAGGAATATATAAGACTTAAATACGAATATTTCCTTACATTGCTTTGCTTACGTGCTGGTACTTCTGCCCTTTCTCCAAACACAGTGTGTGTCGCAGTCACCTATTGTAGATATGAACAAGCGCCTCAAACAACCCCAGTTCAAACTATCTGAACTATCCCTTTAAAACGATACCTGTGCTGATGGCCTGCAACAAAACCATTACGTTTACAAGCAGATGCCAACTACTTACCCGTTGCGCCTTTTCATTGGAGCAGAGCACTCCTGGACAACAGACAATGTTTTCCCACAGGCAAGACAGTGTGTGTGGCTTTTATTTATGAGTAGGACAAAGAGTACACGCAGGGCCCAACCTGCTCTAATCCACAGAGGGAGGTGGCAGTGAAGGGGGAGGGACATACAATAGAGCCAAGAGTACTAGCTCTCTACTCCTTTTCCCTTTGGACAATCATTGACATGCAGTGTAACAATGCTCTTCAATGGATAACATCCAGTCAACAACTCGCTGTCTGTGAAAGTGCTTTAACCGTCAAGCTCTAAACACAAACATGAAGTGACAAGAACAAGCGTGGGAAGCCCTCCCTCACTTAAATAAGAAACAACATTAAAACGTGCCACAAACATACACCAGATGACTGGAGGCTCCTAACAAGAAAGAACGTAAGCTGATGCAAATAGTTTGAGTCTTTGGCAGCCTGTCACCCACACAGGAAAAATATGTATGCAAATTCAGAGCTAACCTTGAACACTTGGGGCCTAGTGAAAGGAGGGCAATAAGGGACTTACTACAAGTTACATTTGAAATGTACTAGAATCCACCAAAGGCTTCATACAAATGTTTTCTCACATAGTATTCCCCATCAGTAACTGAAACCCCATCATCCCCAATAGTAGGCTATTTTTATTTGATGTACAGCACTTTGGCTCGACCAAAAAGCATTTATAAATGTGCTATATAAATAAAACTTGATTTGATCACCTATATCTCTCCTTGTGTAAAACAGGTGGGATACCATCTTAATTAGACTAATTGCAAGAGAGACAGGAGTGCTGTATCACTAAAGTAAAATGGCTGTCATGATGAAGCAACTGGTGAGTAAACACACAACTGAAACATGAGCTAAGCATTTCGTAGTTGTTGTGTGCTCCCCTACAAACAGAGCCAAACAGATATAAGAACACCAGTGTACTTAGCTAGTGGTTGTGTGTGTGTTTCCTGACAGCACTTACTTGTATCAGAGTAAAACACAGTCTGAATATAAGAAAATCCATGAAGGAAACTATAAATGTGTCGCCGTTTAGGGAGATATTAAATAGCAATAAAAGCAGCAAGTGAAAGTCTATGAGTACTAACACCTTAGTCATTGAGGGTTGTATAGCTGTCGAAGACTATCATTCAAGCACTTTTAAGATATCTAACCCCACAATTTCCAGATTCTTCCAGACATTAATATCCAATCTAATATATGTTCCTTTCACTCAATTCCTTTAAACCCACAGAAAACAACATATTTAGTAAGCATTTCAGTGATTTCTACACACTGAGATCTAGAGTCAATCCCTTTTAAATTCTTTTCTAAGAACTGCACAAAACATGCTTTATGATTATGTGATATTATGAACTCAAACACCATGAGGCAAACCTGGATCTATTCATCCCGTGCACAACAAGGAAGTGATCAAGGTTCGAGTCAGACACGGCAAACTTCATTTACCTATAGCGACGTTTTCTGGATCTGGAGCGGGAGCGGCTTCGAGAGTGAGATCTGGAGTACGATCTGGATCTTGACCTGGATCTGGAGCGGGACCGAGCTGGAGAGTCCGGAGCCTTGGACATCTTTGCACTCAGGACCGCTTAGATATGCCTTTACTAGAAAACAAAGAAGGGAATTTTATAAGAGGATAAAAACAATCCTCCATATGCATCACGATTGGACAGCTACGTAATAAAAACTGGAATGATTGTTTTGAACCCAGCAAAAAGTGTCCACACCCCTCCACTGAGGGTTCTTTTTTGTACTATTTCCCAACCGCTTATCATCAATCTGTGAGCCATTTAGATGCAATGTTCCACTAAGGTTAACAAACAGAACTTCAGTGCAGTGACCTTAAGCCCAAAGCTGACTACTGAACCTACACTAACTGCTAATGAGAACAACATGTGCAACATAGAATCACTTATTTCAACCAAATGCTTCAGAACACATTTGTTTTCTTTATACATTTGCTAGTTTCTGCCAAGTCAAATGAAAGAATGAACTTGAGCAGCATCTGTCTAGCTTTGGGCCTAGAAATGTTATTATAGAATATGTCTACAAAATGGAGATCAGGATGTCTCACAAAGCAGCAGATCTGGAGCCGGGAGAGCAGTGGGTCAAGGAACAGCTTTTGCCCCTACAGTGACTTATTCATTCTGATAAGACAAGATGGTTGTGAAGAAAAAAAGAAGAGCATTTTTCCGCTGGGGAATGGCTTTCACATTACATGGCCTGTGTCAGGGATTTCTTGTGATTGTCCTGTGTGTCTCACAATCTCTTCTGCTCTGTCTTTTCAGTACTATGGACAGCGGCACCTACACAAGCATTAAGCTACTTATTTCACATTACAAATGCCCAAAAGCCAACAGTGTATCCACCAGCGTTTCCACCAGGGGGCGTCTTGCAGTCATTTGACGCCCTTACTCAGCTCGGGACGCCCTGAACGCGAGCCGAGGGCGTCCAAAAAATATGAATAATTTGAGAGAAGATCGAGCCCTCTCAGCCCTGGTCTGGCTGACACACTGGTATCCACCCTTTGTGTTTGCATCAGAGGGGGGATTTGAGTTTGAAACACCAACTTCATTTGAGTCAGAAACGTTTGCTTTTTTATTCCAGATTGTTTTTATACCAAACGGTGGGATGCCTGTTTCTTTCATGTTTGAAGGGACAACAGTTGCTATGTGCCAAACCTTAGATGCAATATACAGGGTTTCCCCTGCTTGTACACATCTAAAACAGGCCTCACTGTTCTTTTGCTGAACCTCAAACTTCAATATAGTTATTAAGTCCTCACTGCATGCCTTCATTCTCCTGTTTGTTATTATTCTCAACTGAAGATGCCACGGCAAGAACATGTTCCCACCAGTTATGAAACTTGTGATATAGGTGTTACCATGAGGCTAAACTGGACATTTGTACATGTATAGATATTCATTGATTACACTTAATATCTGCAGAGTGCTTTCAATCTGAAATATAATTGAAATGTAATTATTGCTCTTTTAAACTAGAGACCATCTCATAATGGGATCACACCAGACGCAGAGCTACATCAGGCCAGGGGAGTAAAGTGGGAGGCCCAATGGACACTTCCCCACTTTCTCTGCCACTATTTCTGGTACCCTTATTATTTCAATTGTACGGTCAACATTATGATTGTATGGTGCAAATCCTAAGAAAAGCAGGTTTCATATGCAGACCTGTGTAAAGTAAAAATAATAGCCTAAAAACAACTAAAGACGTTATAATAAGCATTATTGGTAACAGAGTTTGTATCGTCAGCATCACGTATGCTTCTGTTCTTCAGTCTTGCCCTGAATGATGATTACAAAGAGGTGCATCAGTGAGTTGACTTTCTCCACACTATATCTACTGCATGCTACCAAAGCCTCGCTCTCTCCTTGACATCCAAACAAAAACAGAAGTGAAAGTAAACTTAATTCATTTCAGGCTTTTCCATTTCATCACTGGCTAAGGTATTTCAGCTTTCACAGTTTTACGGCTTCTAGATATCTAATACAAATAAACCATCATTTCCAGTGACGTTTAGATATGCAATGCTGTATTATGAGAGACATATTGGGTGCTCTGATGCAGTTAATAATTGTGGTTGTGGTTTACCCCGCTAAGTAGCCGGACTGGCTGTGAGGGTTGCTGTTTGAAGACTTGGTGCATAGTCCATTCAAAGACAAACACATTATAACCGGGTAGGCAAACATCTGTCAAACTTGCAAAACCAGAAAGGCCTGAGACACTGACTACCAGTGGTGGAATGTAACGAAGGATCTTTACTCTGATGCATTGAACTTGAGTACAATTTGAAGTCATTTTACTTAAATAATACACTTTCATGCTATTTTGTACTTCTACTCCACTACATTTAGGAAGCCGATAATGTTCTTTTAACTTGGCTGCATTTATTTCACAACATCACAACGCATAAACCAATAATTAATGATAATATATTATGGATAACAACCAGTCAGCCGTATACAAAAGAAATAGCTCCAGCTTTATTAGTTGCAACTGTATCTAATCCAGTAATATAATACTAAAACAATCATAGTAATAATGCATGGATAATAATAATAATAACCATAATTATAAATAAAGCATACAATAAGCAAAAGAGCACCAGTTATAAAACATCTATTAGATCAAAAAATCAGTAATGGTATATAATAATAATAATAATGAAAAACAAATAAGCTTCTGTATTCTGGAATACATATATATATTACTTCAGTAACATCAAGATGCAGATGCGTTATACTTGTAACGTGTAATCATTTACCACTGTAGTGAGTAATGATCATTTTAGATCTGTTAACTTCTCCCCCCACTGGGCCTATGTGACACCAACACACACCACTGGGTTTCATGGCTCATGTGGTCATTTTGGTTATACATTTAGCTAGTTAACTGCGTACATATCTGCCATTTAAAGCTATGTGCATATAATATAATACCTGTGCACCACAGAGAACATGTGCCACCACACCAACAACAACTACACTGATATAACACATATTAATAAAGTAAACAAATTAAGTGAGCTTTACTACAGCATTGTAATCAATACTAGAGTCAGATAAAACTGACTGAAGCTATCGATACTGAGAGCTCCAGCGTTACAATAAGAAACACAGATACAGACTTCAACTATCCTCTTAGCTACACAATTACATTGCATTTACCTTATCCCGGTGCAAACAAGTCTGTACAAACTCGTTTTGATGAATAAATGCTGCAGAAGTTGAGTAACCTTTGAGGCCGAGCTGCTCGACTGGTCCCTCCTTCCTGGTTTTACTGAAGCAATTTAACGGATGTTAGCAACCTGGCTAGCTTGTTAGCAGTGATTCCGTAACCAACTGCTAGGCCAACCAAAACAGACGCACTGCGCCTTCAGAAGAGGCCAGGTGCTAGTGCTGCCATGTCAGTCGACATTAGACATGTCTGTGGAGGATTTTAGGTGTTTGTCAATTGTGCTAAATGTATGTTTTTGACAGAATTTAGATTTAACGAAAGCTAACGATAAACAGATACAGTTAGCTCACGATGCTATCCTCACTACGCTCACATCACGCGAGACTTTCTGTCACGTGAAGTGATGTCAGGGAGGACACTGGGTAAATTAGAATAAAAAACGTTTTTTAATTCTGCTTTTATTTATGTTAAACCTCTGATTGACATGTTATCTTGGACTCACATTAGTTGACATTAAATAAAGTTTTTTTTCTTCATTCTGGACAGAAGTTATTTCTTTTTTTAAAATCTCTTTTTAATGGTAGCCAACATTTTGTATAAATGATATGGACTGAAAGGAATCCTAAGCATGAATTTAACGATTCAAACACTAAACCAAAAAGCTGTCTGGATATGGTCATATACAAGGCCTTAAGAGCTCTACTAAATGTATGTCTCGTGTTTTTTGTAATAACAGTATTCACTATGCAGAAAGACCCATTTCCGATGTATATTTTACACTTAAACAAAATACAGTAAGCTTACAATATAATTAAAAAGCAAATAAAAACCCATAGCTCTGCTTCAAGGAAATATAAGCTGCATTGCAGGTTTCCACCCTCAAACCCACAGCTGTCCTTTAGCTTGACGTTGATGTCCGTTGGGTCTGTATTGTTTCTAATGCTGTGCACTATTTTTATCAAACTAAAGCCACGTAACGCCTCCTATCACAGACACAGATTCCACCCTAAACCCCACTCAAGGTCCATCCGGCCTAGGCCAAACCCAAATACACTCTAGGGGAACTGAAGTTGTACACTGTCTCTTCTCACTGACCTGTTTTTGGTTAAAGATGTATGAGAGTTCGTTGTAAATAAATAATAGATCTGCACAAAGACTTCTTTCATATTGTAAGAATCTGGCCTTCCACTTGAGGAGTTTAGTCATGTCTTTCTGTGTTCGGAACAACATGTCAGTGTCTATTCAAAGCTAGTGAATGTAGGCCAATGTCATATTTTCCTTCAAATATAGAAGATAAGGCATTTCAAATATGGATACAAACTGAATCACTGGCTTCCTTTCCTGCAAACTGTATCAACCCTGCACACCATCTGTTCGGCTCCTGGGAACTTGTTAATCCCACATAGATAGTGATGAGGAAATAGATCCTCAACAACAAGATTGCAGTTTCCAAACAATCTTTCTTTCCATAAAGTTATACTGACTTTAATGTTTAAGTAGTTTTTGACACTACTCACAATTATATTGTTTCCTGTGCATACACTTTTTGCCTTGAGTAATGAACAATATATTAATGCACAAAAGTTTTTTTAAAGGACCAATATGCGTATTGTGCGAGAATAATAAGTTGATGCGGTGCAGTAATGTTTCATAACCACTATGTTAAAGCCAGTGCCATTCTTTCAGCATTCAATTCAATGATAAACTACAATCTGTTCTCCATGCACATATCTGATATATTCCATGTATCCATATCATATCTTGTTTTTTTATACATAATGCACATTACTCTGTAATCTCTCAAAAGCTGTCTCAGAATATGTATTCTGTGCATTGACGATACAAATGTATTAATCTGATAAAGTACTAGTACCTGTCACTCATAACATTATTTTTGCTTTGGTTATGAAATACACACTAAAACTTAAATGCTACCACATACATGAAGGCACCTATATATAGAGTGTATTATTCAATTTGTAGTTGTAATATTCTGCTTTCTATTCAATGTGTTTATGTGTTCAGTCTTTGATTTTCCTTTTTGTTGTTTCTTTTAGTTCTTGTACTCTGTACATGTGCAAATGGAAATTACGTCATATCAACTTGATGTTGAATTTCATCCCCAAATAAATAAAGTCATTGTGTGTATTCTTACTGCAAAGATTGCAGGACAAAGTTCATCTTTCAAATAATCAATTTAACAAAAACTGAGACTGGTGCATAACAACCCTGAAGGCTGTCATCACAGTTCAAGCACTGAGAGAAGTAGCAGCAAAGCCTTAAAGCAACTGTGTCCTCCGTTCTGCACGATAATAACATGTCATCTAGTCCACAGCCTGAATAGTAGACCTGGTTTGAATTTTTACAACTCCTCACGGCACGCATGGTCAAGTCACTCCTCGTTGACCTTCGACAAAGATATGCAAACAGTTCCTATTCACTGTCCTATTCCCTTTGCAGCACAGGTGTTGGGCACTTTGCCGTGCCAAAGTTAAAATTATCCCTGACAGATCTCTCCTTTGGCTCCTATGTGGGAGCAGACATGGCTCCTTGTCTGTCACTCAATTTACGAGCTGCTAATGGTCTCACTGGAGCTTAGAATTCCAAGGGGCCGAGGACAACTCTGCCCAGTGAGGTCACAGATGAAAGTGAAATAAAAGTCAGTTAGATTAAAGGGATTGTGGCCACACCGTGAAGCTTGTGGAGGGTTTGTGTCATCATTCAAAATAGAACGAACAAGCAGCGAGCAAGAATAACATTATAGCAAAAGAAACCCCAAAAAATATGAAAAATATTATTTTGTATTTAGTGACAAGATCTTCTTAAATGTGAAGTTAATGTAGAAAAGTGTTATCAGCAAAATGTATAATAAATCGTAGTACCCATGCAGAATGTCTCCTTTCAAAGGATTGTATTATGATCCATTATTATATTATGATTCTGTTTTTATCACATTATGTTAATGTTGACGTTCATAATTTTTTACTTTGAAATATATAATATTTGTCTCATAAATATAGTAAAAGTACCATCAAATATAACTACTTACAGTACAGTGCTTCTCTATGTATACTTAGTTACAATCCACAAAGGTTTGCTTCTGTTGTTTAATGTTTTATTCATATTTGTTACTTCCTTTATTTTAATTGTTGCTCATTTTGGTTTGTATTTCTTGTGTACTACCCTCTGTCACTTTATTTAAAGATTGTATATCCGTTACTTCAACAGAACAAAATACATTGAAGCCTAAATCTCAAATGACAAAGACCACTTTCATAGAGAGAGTAGAGCTCAGCAATGCTAAAAACAAAGCTCAAAACACGTAAAAGGGAGAAAAGGAGAGGCTCACCTTGCAGGGGAAAGTGAGAGTGAGGAGAGAAAAGTGAGACGTCTCCGTGCTTCCTGGTTTGCAGAAACAAGTGAAGAAGAAACCTCTGGGATGGCAGTTAAGAACCCAACTGTCTGACAACAACCACTTGGTGAAATCACATCTCGAATATAAATAGTTGACTCTCTGGAAGCGTTGTTTGAAGGGATCATCTGTGACTTACAGTGTGTATGCTCCCATTAAGATGCCCACAGAGAAAATAAAGACGTTTTATTTGATGACTATTTATATTTGATTATAACTAACTTTCGTTTTTAAGTATTAAACATACTATGAAAACTCACAACACCCTCTTTTCAAAACGCAAAGTTATCAAAATAGCAACAGAAAAAATTGTAAGCACATACATATTCAAAAACCGTCAAGAAGCATTCTCATTATGGGTTTATACAAGAATATGATTGATCATGTATGATTTATTAATTAACTTTCGTTTTTTAAGTATTCACTTCATACCATGATCTCAATTAACTTTCGTTTTAAGTATTCACTTCATATGAAGATCTCAACACTATAGATCAAAGGTTTAACATCATGTAATGCACTGTTATGTGAAGGATGAGCAGGTTGTCTCACATGATACATTACATACTTTATTAAATGTGTACCCTATTGCCTTTTGCTGTAGTCCTGCTGGTAGCCACACTTCAGGAGGCTAAGGCATTCACAGACACAGAAGCTGTTTAGTCAGGTCGATATCTCTGCACCATGTGGGACATGAGATAACAGCATGAGACAATGTCCAGTCTACTCTCCTACAGGGTTACACACAATACAAATACATCATGCTTCTAACTGAATTAGGGTTACAAACAATACAAATACATAATGCTTCTAACTGAATTAATTTACGGCAGCTATGCAGAACGTTTTTATTCTAAGCAGCTGGCAGTTAGCCTTCTCTGTTTACTTTAGTCCCACCCACCCAGATACTCACAATAGGTTACAGTACTCATCACTGGTGATTAGATATGAAGACTGAAACCTGGCTAACCAGTATACAAAAGAGCCTAATCAGACTGCTAAACTCACAGTTTTGTCACAGTGGTATGAGAAGTGAATTTGAAACCAAGAGACGATTTCACACCAAGTACTTTGCCGTACGTGTTCATCAGAATTTAGTTCATCTGACGAATTAAAGAGCAGATCGCGTTCACACATTTAACTTCTGTTAGACAGCTATTATACTGAACAAATATTTACTGTGAATGTATGCAAACATGTATGGCATATGGCTGTCTAACAGAAGTTCAATTCATTTCTCACTTATTCCGACAATGTACTTAACCCCAAATAAAAGAACCCAATAAAAATAGTTGTTAAATAATAGTGAAGTCACGTTGTAATAACAATAACTCATCTCTCTCGAGTTTTCTTTTTGAGCTTTGCTAAAAGCCACTGTGTCAAGTGTCCATCTTGGGTTGCCCTCCGGAGTTCAAACCGGAGAGACGTGATGTAAGAATTACATATTTATTGTTTACACGTCATATGAATGAAATGATTGCCATGATAATACAACAGGAGAATGTAATGTTGTTTGGCGATTAGGCCCCGGTTTGCAGGATAATCATTCAGGAGGGAAAGAACCACTCCGATGAAATCCCCGGGGTCTAGACACTGGTGGTGGTGATGAGTAGGTGAGACCGGTCTGAAGGAGGAAGGTTTAGCTTTGTCCTGAAGGAGACGGGAGGCGAGAGGGGTGGAGGCGGGTTGCGTGTGATCATCTGCAATGACAACTGACAGGGAGGAAGAGCAGGCATTTAAGGAATTTAGCATGTGCAGCGATTGGCTGCTGAGGGGTGACGCCCTCGTATTTAATGAGGGGGGAAGGGAGCCATAGAGTGACGTGTAACCCCCTAAGTTTTTAGCGATCGCGGCCACTCTAGTCAATGGGTGCTATTCCACCAGACCCGCTGCGCCGCGGCTCGAAGTGTCCCAGAAGCTCCTCGCCGCAAGGAATTTCTAAAATATAGGATGAATCCTATTTTTGACGCGG